TTTGTGCCAAGCTGGTCCTCAAGGGCAGGTGATGGGGGTCCTGCCAGTCCATGAACTGCTGAGCTGGGGGCATCTCCTAACGAAGACAAGCCAGAGTCTGGTCCTTCAGCTCCAGGGAGACCAGCTCCCTGGGGAGCACCAGTTGCTGTTCCCCATGGCTGTGACCCACCAAAGGATGGAGACCCAGGTACTCCCTGGGCACCACTGAGGTCAGGGCTTGCTGGTGTCTCTGTCTCAGATGCAGGGCCAGGCACAGCCCCCGGGAGTGGGTAAACAGTCCCAGGACCATTGGCAGATTCACTGGGCAGGTCCACTGGTCCTTCAGCCCCTGAGAGATCGGGCTCCATTCCAGAACTGCTGGGAGGTACAGAACCAGTTGAGGACACTTCTCCCAGTGCCGGGGCATCTCCTGCTCCTGTTCCCCCCCCAAGAGCTGGTGGAGGGGACTGCCCAGCACTTGCCAAATCTGTTCCTCCAGCCAGAAGCTCTCCATTATTAGCAGGAGAGGCTGAGGGCTGGGTGTCTGAAAGGCTCATGTCACTCTGGGTGTCTGTATAGGGACTGCCATCCCCTGGACCTCCTGCCTGTGCCGTGTCCTCTGCCCCCTGAGCTCCCTGACCTTGGACCCCAGCAGTGGGCCATGCCAGTCCATCAGGTACAAAGAGGGCTGGGCTAGGGGCATCTGAATCTGAACTCAAGCCAGTGTCAGGTCCATCAGATTCTTGGGGAGGTCCATCTGGCATCCCTCTGGGCTGTGACTCTCCGAGAGATGGAGACATGGGTGCTTCTGGGGCAGTAGTGAGGTCGGGGCTGGATGGTGTCTCTGCTGCACCATCAGCTGCAGACAGGGTGTTGGCTTCAGCCCCTGGGGGTGGGTAAGCAGCCCCAGGAGCACTGGGGGTGTCCATCAGAGCATCAGGAAGCAGTGGTGGCTTTTCTCCGACGGAGGTCTGCCATGGGTCAGGCTGCAGGGATGGATTGTCCAGACCCACAGCCCCCATGTCCCCTGTGGGCAGCACAGTGGCCACGGTTGGGAGATTCATATCATTCTGTGCATAAGTGGGAACCTCTGGGGCCAGCAGTGTTGTGGCAGTGTCCTCTGTTTCCTCGGGTGCCACTGGTGCCTCGCTGGCTGCAGGTGACAGGGCTGAACCAGAAGCTTCTGATGACACTCCCTGCCCATCTCCATTCCCTGTGGACGGTGCCAGCGAAGCGTCTGGGCTCAGCACTGTGTGGCCGGGGAGGAAGGAGGGCTCCCCAGGGTGTCCCGCTGTTTCTAACATCACTGGGCTCTCCGGAGGTAGGTGGGATGAGCCGACTGTGCTGAATTCACCATTTGTTGTATCTCCTGCATCTCCAGACTCTGAAGCCAAGGGATTTTCCTCAGCAGCTAGGGCCATTTCTTCTGCTGTCTCTGGGTTAGTGCCCTCAACCCTGCTCACCACTCCACCCTGCTGGGTCGTAAGCAGCTCCTCAGTGCTGGGGCTGGGACTTAAGGAGTTGGCATTGGCTCCACTTTGGACAGATGCAGACAGAGTTACGACTTCCTCGACTGCTCCCATGGCTGTGGTCAGCCCTTGGCTTGGTAACACAGTGACACTGAGACCCACGGGGCTGCCAGCAGTTGGCTGTGGCACCCAGGTGTCTGCTGGTGGAGGGGCGGTAGGGTAAGACATATTGCCAGTGGTGAGGTCTATGTCTTCTTCTCCTCTGGTCACAGCTGCAGGGATGTCTTCCTTCACATCTGGGGTGATGTCTAGGGTGGGATCAGGAGTGGCCTCTATTACCTCATGCTCTGCTTCTGGGGTGACAGCAGGGTGTTGTGCAGTGATAGCAGCAGCAGTTGTGGCTGTAGTGGAAGCAGCCAACCCCCCCTCAATACCCTGAGATGTGTTAAGAGGCTTGGTCACATTCATCAAGGTTGGCACTGTAGAGCCATATTCACTTGTCGCAGTCACAAAAGAGTCCAGCTCAGTCCCGGGAGGGAAGGTCGAACTCAATGGGCTCCTCGTGAAGATGCTCTCGTCTATCTCAGCATCAGCCACCGTGGTGCTTGTGTCCGCAGTGCCCGTCACCAGGGCACTGGGCCCTTCATTCTCTGCTGTGATGGGAAAAGCTGTCCCCACAGTAAAGGGCCCCTCGGTAGTGACAGGGGCAGCAGCAGCCCCAAGCCCTGCAGAAAAGTACAAAGCAGAGCATTAAACCGAGTGCCAGAGAGAGCAGCCTGCCAGGCTCAGACACACCTCTCCTCCGGCTGAGCATCACAAAGCTCCCAGCCCTTCTTAAACCCTACTGCCTCATCCCACAGCCTTACAAGGCTCTGATTTAAAAGCCAAGGAGTGCAGTCTGGGCTGCCTTAGGCATAGTACTGCACAGCACCTCTTCCATCCTCAGCATGAGCAGCTACCAGATGGGACAGAACACAACTCATCACAGGTCAGGGAGAGACACACACTGGTGCAAGCGTGGAGGCAAAGGCAGCCACTGCAACCCAGTCCAGTTATGCTGGGGATGGTACTGCCTGGCCACTGGGTAGAGCTGGGGCCCAGTAAGCTCACAGCCCAAGGGGTGTCTGTGAAGCTCTGCCACCCTAGGACAGCCCTCAGCCCTCTTTCTGTTGCTTCAGGGACAGATCTGAGTGCAGTCACTTCTGCAGGGCCTGGGGGGGTTCTGCGTTTTTTTGCCTTCCGGGTGTCTGAGACATTTAAATAACTTTACCCAAAGCCCTTTGGCAGCAAGGACAGACAAGGCTTAGAGAAGCCTTCCCTGACTGCAGATAGATTCTGACCTGCTGCAGTTAAAGCAGGTTTGTTAAACCTCTACTGGGGTGGGCATCTACCTGCTACTGCCCCCACCTCTCTTGCTTCCAGCTGGGTGAAGGCATCGGGGGTTTCCTGTCCGTGGAGGGAATATTTACAAGCTTCCCTGGCCAAACCCTGTTCACAGCTCACTCCTCCTGCTGCCAAAATCCTGATCCACATGCAGGAGTTTTGCTGAAAGGAGGAGACACCTGCCCACATCCCAGACATTTCTCCCAGTACCTACTGGCACCCACGGGTGATGTTTCACCCAGTATTATATTTAGGACAGGGATGCAGGCTCTGGGGAGACCAGGCTGCCTCTGCTGGCTCCAGGAGGAGCTGGGTGGATCTGCTGACACTTGGCTTTAGGCAGCTGCAATTAGGGGAGATGAAGGGCACCCCGATGGCAAGACCTGCCAGGGCTTTGCCACCACCCGACAGCCCGAGCCTGCTCCCCACCCTGGTGCTCCGGTTCATCAGGTTCCCCCTGACAGGCAGCCAGAACTCCCTGCAGCGGAGGTGCCTCCAACCTCACCACCAGCTCAGCTCATTAGCTTACAGATAGCTTGTGCAGAGTCATTAATGAGCATTATCTCCTATGCCAGACCAGTCCTCAAGGGGTCCATCCTCTTCCAGAGCCCCGTTCCCTTTCCTGGCAGGCTGCTTCCTCACCATCTCTCCCAGCTGAAATAAGCTCTTTACACCAGCCCACTCAGCCAGAGGAGCTCAGCTGCTTCTGTCCCCATCTCAGGGAAAACAAAGCACATCAGTGAAGTCCCCCCAGGTTAATTTGGCACACTCTACTCCAGCAAATCCGTGTTTTATCTTAATTCTTCCATGTGGAGCAAGAAACACCATCTACCCCACACACCCATTCATGGGAAGTCAGTGCAAGAGGGGCCTCAGCATGGAGCACCAGCATTTGCTCTTTCCTGGGACGTGGGAGGGATGGGAACATCCCCGGGTCCTGCTCTGCCGGCTGGCTTCCCTTGCTGGAGGGGTACACGGCTGCCTGCAGGCTTCCGGGCTGGGCTCTCACCTCTCCCACGGCTCCACGCCTGCAACCAGCCCCTCGGGGTGATGCCTGCCCCATAAAACACTTTTCCAGCTCCTTGGCTGCAATCTATTGCAAGGACTTTCCAGTGCAGCCAGAAGGGAAAAGCATCTCACAGTGTACCTGCTGCACCCTAACAGAGCTCAGGTAGCACATGAGCTAGCACAAAAATATTGGACATACCATGCAGAATCCATACGCAGCATCCCAGGAAGGTGGAGAGCGTCCATCCCCTAGTCCCCATTCCTCAGGCCCCCACACAGGCAGAGCACTAGGAAGCTCAAAGGGAGGAGAGAGCAACAAGGAGCAGCTCCCTCTGTCCCTCCCTGCCTGCCTCTCCTGCAGAGCTGGAGTCCCACAGGTGTTCCTGCTCCTGTTCCCTCCTATTTATAGGGATGGCAGAAGGAGGCAGGTTGCCGGCGTCCTATCCCGCCCCTGGTCCCTTCCCTCCAATGTCCCTGTCACCATTCCCTTCCGGTCGAGCCCTCCCCTTCCCAGGGTCTGGATGCCCTGTTCAGTTGTGGCATGGGCTGGAGGTTACCCAAAGACCACCCTGCAGGACCCAGCTCCCTGGTCCACCAGCACCAGGAGGTGAAGCTGAGCCCAGAACAGGGTGTGGCACTGCCAACAGTGGCATGGCAGTCACCCCACCTGTTCCCCATGGCAGCCACCCCATGGACCCCACAAGAACCTGCTCCATTCAGGATAGGGGGCCACGGAGTGTGTGGTGGTGACAGAGCAATGCCAGCCGGTGCTACCATGCCTGTGAGGACACCATGGGCACTCAAATCACCCGCTGAGCCATGTCTCAGCCGAGGGCAAGGCAAGACACAAGAGCCCACTTGGCTCAAAGCTTTTTTGGGAGCAGACTCAGGTTATAAAGCAGGGATGTATGGCTGGGGACAGGCTCTGGAGCATCAGCTGGGCTCCCAGTGCTCAGCTGCAACTGGAAGCACTAGAGATCCCTGTCCAGAGCTCCAGCACGTCCCAGCGGGGTTTGAAACCTGCACTTCAGTACGGGCACAGCAGTGCTGGGGTGCTGGGAGGGGGCAAATTATCCAGGAAAGCTTCCCTGCAAGGTGGGACCAGCATCCTCAGAAGCTAGAGCAGGAAAAGTCGCAGGCCTGGTCCCCCTTCCCTGCTATGGGGAATCCCTGGGTCACTTCACCTTGATCCCCTGGGTCACTTCACCCCTATATTTCTCCTTCCTCCTTCTCCTGAAGCAGCAATTCTTGCACATCCCCCCCTCTGTGAAAACTGCTGCCAGCTCCCTCGTGAACAGCATTATGCAAACTTCCACCACTACATGGTTCTGTAGTCAATTAAACACTTCTTAACCAGAAATGCCCCCAGGCAACTCCTGCAAAGTGTTATGAGGGGTGTTAGGCAGTACAGAGTGTCCCGCTGGAGCTGGCCTCCGTTGGGCAGGCAGCAGTGCCTGGGCACGTCGAGGGACACCCCCAACCCAACAACTAGGCAGAATTGACAGGGAAATGCCAGGGGAGGCCAAGTCACGGCTGGTGAAGCACCATCCTGTAAACCCACGCATTACCCCTGGCAGTGGGAACTGGGCACAGACGGTAAATCGGGGGGAGCGCCGCTCGCCTGGAACAAATGTTCCCCTGCCCACCGAAAATGCTGGTGTGGGGGTAAAGCCAGGGGGAACAGTGCACTGAGGGCCTGTGCAACCAGCACTGCAGATCACGGGGTGACTGCCCAGCCAGTGACCACCTGAGCAGCCACCACACCTGGGCTGATGGAGGATTAGAGGGATACAAACCTACCGTGGGAGAGTTGTTCCTGCCTGTGCTGACAATGCCATATCACTTTGGAAAGCCACCCCAACAGGGAATATATGCTGACACTGGAGAAGGTTGCTCCAGATGGTGTTTGAGGTGCAAAATGTGGTGGGAACCACAGGGATTGTTGCAAACATGCTGCTCAGCATAGGGGAAAGCAACTTGGCTGAAGCAAGGTGGTAGCCTCAGCCCTCCTGCAAGCTCCTGTCCATGCTCCCCAAGCCAGCTCTGCCTGGAGACCCTCATACCTCCAACTCCTGCTCATGCTGTCCCCAAGAAAACTCATCTCCCAGCAGAATCACGGGGATGACACACCAAATTTGTCCCTCTGCTCTGGCATTGATTGGTACACCCTCCCAAGAAAGCCTGCAGCCACTGAGGGATGCCTTGTCTCAAGGATGGTGTCCAGCTCCCACCCTGGGAAGGGGCTTTTTAATGATCCTTCTGCTACTCCTGAAACAAACGTCCTGACAAAGCGCTGATTCCTGAAAGAATAACTGTCATCAGCAGTTACCAAGGACCAAAGCATCATGTGGGCACTGGAGCCCTTCAGGAGCCTGTAGCCATGGGGCAATTCTACGAATCCCAGCACCCAGGGGCTCTACACCTTCCAGCACAGCAGAGCATGGCCCAGCACAGTGCCTTATCAGCCTTTCTGAAATTAATGGGCTGGTTGTTCCGGCTTTGTAGAGAACACAGCATCTCCTACTGGATCCCCTCTAGCCTCCTGGCAAGGGCATTTGGAGAGGGCTCAGGGTGGTAGTGGGGGAAACCAGGTTATCCATCAACTCCACAGGTTCTGGATGACTTGGCATGCTGGGTGTGTTGCAACACCCTCCTGCCAAACAGCAGGAGCTGGGCTATAGCCATCGGCAGGGCTGAAGGGGAGGGGGACACTGGAAGGGACATCTGAGTCACAAGGGACTTGAGATAGGCACTCCATGATGCTGCCAGGCCCTCTGAAGGGGACAGTCATGCTGGGCACTGGGTCTGCTCATTGGGAAAATGCTGGTAGATGGCAGTGGATCACAGCAAAGATGGTGAGAACTGATTTGTGGGCTGGGAAAGCAGCAGGACCTGGATACAACCTCCCAAGGCCCCTCTGGTCAGAGATCCATGGCAGGCAAGCAGCCACGGGGTGAAAGTGGTAGCCAGCACCCTCAAGGATGGCAGGCATGGAGAACATGGGTAGTGTCAGGGGCCTGCCAGAGCTCTCTGCTGCCAGTGCCTGGGCAGTGACCACCATCCCCACACAAGCCATATGCCCCCACTGTGTCCCTCTTCTCCCTCCCGGGCTGGGGGCAGAGGGGACCAGAACATCTCCTCCTCTCACTGCCCCCCGACCACGATTACGGTGGAAGGCAGCCGTGCTGGCAGAGGACAGTGAGTACCCCAGTCACCTTTTCATCCCAGCGCTTCAGGACCTTTTCCTCCCTTTGTGACGCAGTTTGGCTCCACTACGCCGGCTTTGGCACCCAGCCATGTCCCGGGGTCTGAAGTTATGGATTCAACAGCCGGAGAAAACAGCCCGGTGGGACACGACGTGGGAGGACTCTTGGCCCAGCTCCACAGCGTAGGCAGACCACAAGGATTTCTTTCCCAGCACCCCATCAGGCATCCAGCACGGGGACCCCTTCTGGCAGGTTTTGCCCTACTTCCCAGCTCCCTGCCCGGGTGCCAAGGGACCTCTCTCGGTGTCAGTGAGTCCGACAAGCCCACAAAAGACAGGCAGCGTCCTAAAGAGCAAAGGGGCAACCCTGGGATGCAAGGGGCATCCCAAGTGGGAGCATCCTGACAAGCTGCCTGGGCACAGGCCTCCAGCCCCAGCCCAGCTTCTCCCAGCCCCTGAGAGCTGGCAGGCAGCCAGGTGATCCCATGGAGTCTTTCCCTATCCTGTCCAGCTGCTGGTTCCTTCCCAGATGGTTGACAACCCAGGCAGCCTGGGAGCAGTCCCCATATTTGGCATCCCTCAGCCTCATGCGCCCCTTCCCAACCCTCCCTGTGCTGGGGCGGTGAGGGCTGCCAGTGAGGAATAGGGATCAGCCAAAAACAATCCCTGACACGCAACAAGGCTATTTTCTAATTATTTCAGTTTTCAATCTCCAGGCGAGGTGACTTGCTTAGGCTAATAATTGCTTCAGTTGGATTTTATCTGGCTAATTAATCAGTTAATAAATGACTTTGCTGAAGGGGGACAGATGTTGCGGCCGTCTCCTTAGCTGGGGACTGGAAAAAAACAGGGAAGGAGCACAGCCCACAGGATTTCCATGGCCCCGTGGTGTGTAGAACTGCCCCAGCAGCTGTGGGGTGCCATGGGGCAGAGAGCACCAAAGCAGGGACCCCCGTCTGCTGGAGTTCCCAGCCATCCTTGGGAATGTCTGCAGCCGCCCCTGCCAGGAGGGGACAGCCCTGAGCCTGTCTCTCCACTCGAAGCTTTTGGGACTCGGACGGTTTTCCTCTCCTGTACCTCTAACAGATGGCAAAGCTGAAAATTGTGAAAGGCAACTTGGAAAATAAAGAAGTCATCAACTTCAACACAGAAAGCATGGAGTTTCTATTTACTGCCCGGCCCGTGTTGGCATGGGCGTGCTCCTCTGTCAGCAATACCACGGGTGAGCCTTGGGCACAGCAGTACTGGGGGTTCCAGGTCTCCTTCCTCTCATCCATCAGTCCCCAGGGTGGCTTTGATGGCTGAGCCAGCACAGTCCCAGCTGTAAAAGCCCAGTCCCACAGGGTCCTCTCCTTCCAGCCCCCTGGCAGTGCTGGAAGGGGTCACACCACAGGAGCCAGCTCTGGAGCAGGGTGGTGGGAGGTCTTGGCCTTTACAGACAGGCTGTGGGAAGGGGCAGGGGCACTGCAGCCCACAGGGGGCACCGGGGATACACAGGGAAGGATGGGGAGCCCCAAGTTCAAGAGGAGCTGTGCAGGTTACCCCAAGGGGCTGCACTGCCATGGAGTAAGGAGCCAGGAGCAGATGGCTTGCCAGTACATGTGGGAGCTGGCAGGGCGAGGGGCAGTGGTCAGGGGCTCCTCTTCCCTCGCCATTCCAACGACAGGCCAGCGCACGGGAATGCCGTCTGAAGGTTCTCGCGGAGCTGTGGGGAAAGAACAGCCATCAAACCATGCCAGAGGGGGTTTCCTACCCCCCTGTCCCCACCTCAAAAGGGCCTGATCCTGAAATGTGTCAGCTAGAGTGTCTCCCCTTCATCCAAAAGGGCTACGGGTGACAATCAATGCAAGACCCAGCCATTCTCCTCCCACTGGCTGCCTGACCCCTCCCTGACTGCCTGGACCATGGCTGGCAGATGCAAAATGGCACCTCCTCCCACACACCTTACCTTGGACAACACCAGCTCCTGCACCGTGCTGTTCCCCAGGTCCAGGGGGGTGCTTAGCCGCAGAGACAGGAAGAGGCGAGATGCACCTAGGGACAAAAAATGTGGCTCTGGTTATTGCCCTTGAACCTTGGATTGCAACAAAGAACCTGGGGGTCTTTCCATCAGATTGCTGGCACAGACACGGGACCTCCTCCCAGGTTAATTGTATCGTGGACACTCTACACTGTCAAGAGAACAACCCTCCCACTGTACAGCAAACCCAGAGCACGTTCCCCAGAGCATCACTGAGAACATGGCAAAAGCAGTGGGGTTCCAGGACCCCCTGCACTAGCCTGTGCCAGTCCAAAACTACAATGGGTGGGTGGTGATGCCCACAGGCACTGCACTTACTGGTGTTGGACGAGCCAGTGGGGCAGACGGGCGGCGGCATTGGCAGGTCTGCAGAGGTGCTGTGGGTAACCTCTGAGGTCTGGGTCGAGTTCGTGGTGGGGAAAGAGAACTCAATGCCTGTGCAAAGCAATGTTACGTTAATACTCTCTGCAGAGGTGCAGAATGCTCCTGCAGCTGGGGACAGACCAAGCCTAAGCAAAGACACATACATGAAGCCACCCTAGGACATGCCCAGAATCCCTGTGAGGATTTGTCCCCGTGAAAGTGTCCCTACCTTCCCGTAGGGAACCCACCCATGGCTGCACTGGGGGTCCCAGATACTGGCAGGGTACCTGGAGTCGACTCCATAGTTGGGGGGAAGATGACAGGGGTAGTCCTGGATGTGGTCCTGGCCGGGTGGCTGGGAGAGGGGGTGCTCAGGGGGACCTCCATGCTGATAACAGGGCTGGCCGTGGTGTTTGCCAGGGTTGTCAAGGGCTCAGATGACGTAGCTGTTGTTGTGGTGGGAGGAGGCATGGTGGGAGTTGGGGTGCTGCCAGTCCCTGGGGATGTGCTGGACCTCTCTGGGGTGGAAGCTTCTGTTTCAGGGCTGGAGGGAGAGAGGGTGGCTGCAGTGGTGGAGTCAGTGGTGGGCAGCTGTGCAGAGGTCTCCATAGATATTGAGGAGGTGGGGGGAGATGGGGACGTGGCTGCTGTCACACCCATGGCAGTTGTCTCTGCAAAGAGGTTGGACAATGAGATGCACAAGGGTTGGTGGTAAAAGGCTGAGGCCATGGCTGTTCTGGGGATGGCACAGCATCACCACCACCATGAGGTCCCCAAGGAAATCTAAGCTATACATCAGCCATGGACCATTGGGAATGGAAATTCACCATCCTGCATGGATCAAACACATGGATTCCCTGAATGGGCATCTGCAAGGCCAGCCATGTAAATCCCCAGCCTGACAAAGTAGGAACAAGCCATGGGCATCACCGGTGCCAGGGCAGAAACTCCTGTAGGTGCCAGTCCTAAGACCCATTCCATCACTTTCACCCATCCCTGAAGGAAATCAGACAAACCCGTCTGACAGGAAGAGCAGAGCAGGAACTGGTGACCGTGAGACAGTCTGGAAATGCAGCAGCAGCAGTTTACACAAACCTCTCTGCTGCAGATAGTCAGGAACTGATAGCACT